TTTAATTCAAAAATGTAAAAAGGAAGTTAAAAAGCGGGAAAAAAAATGTTCGACCGTGTTGTTTGTGTCTTCTTCGTCCCTGTATTTTTCTTCTCGCGCTTGTCTATACACTTTCGATGCAGCTGTTTCTCGTCGCAGACGCCTCGTTGTGGCGGCGGTTTGACTCAGGCCGCCCAAGCGGCACCGAGCAGCCTGAAAGCGGCCGCGCGCGCACTCTGGCGAAGCCAAGGACGAGCTCGTCGTTTCGCCTCCGAGCAAACAAATCCCAGCAAGAAGACCACCGGTAAGAGAAGGGGCGCACGAACCTATCCCCCAAGTATGAATTTTAATGGGCACGGCGCTTAAAGGCAAAACAATCATGGAAGCGAACCGAACAGGGGCGCCGAAAGGCGGCCAAAGCTGCTCCAAACGCGGCCACGCAGACGACCTTCTTTGGGAACACCTGACAGCCGCATAAAGGATCGGCCGTCCAGCGCAGGCTGCAGCTAACAAAGCTGCGCGTCCCGGCGTCGAGACTGTCGCGCTTTGAAAAATACCAAAGTATTTCCGCGATACCGAGACGCGCTTTTTATTTGCTCCACAGTCGCGACACCACGGCTATTTGGGCCATACACACAGCGGGAGACAGTTCACACGGAGAAGCAATCGCTATTTTCTTTTTGTATTAGATTTTTTTTTTTTTTTTTTTTTTTTTTTTTTTTGCGTTTTATGTAGTACTTGCTGCGCAAATGATTGGAGTTGTTTGGGCAAATAAGCTGAGCACGTATTGGACACGAAATGTCTTCGCGCTTCGTGTACACTAATTAACTTTTCAAAGAGATCTCACGAACGATTGTTCATAGAAAGCTTACATAGCGTGCAACAGTACAGTGTGTTCGGTCGGCGCATCAGCAGTCTAGGCAAATATCGAGGAAAAATGATTGTCCCTCTCTAGTCACAATCTACGTACTCTCGATTTATTCCCTAGGATTCTCGAACGAATTGCCGGGCCCCGAAATTTCCTTGTTCAGTACATGCGTACGTACAACGAACTAAACTTCATTCACAAACGTCGAACAGAGAGCGCACCCCAGTACACATACATTGGACAGACTTGGCTAAGAAGTACTCGGCAATCTGCAGGTTACCCTTATATATGATGTAAAACAAAGGGAACCGACCGGATGCTTTCCGGATCATACATATCCACAGTTCGCAACCGGAGGGTCCGAAATAAAGTTCAAGCAGGTTGTGAGCAGGATTTGCTGGATAGCTCATCCAGAATAACAACACAAACAAAATCGCTAGAAAAAAAGAAAAAAAAAAAACGTTTTAAAAGAAAATTTACGTTTCGCAGAGTTCAAAGTTGCATACAGTTTCAATATCTGGATTTGCCACAGTTAACAAAACGCGCGTTGGGCAAAATGCAAGCCCAGTCAACGTCATACTAGATGCAGTCGTCAAGCTCCTTTGCCTAGCGCTGCTTCGCTGCGCCCTATGGACAGTACGGCGGAACCGGTGGAACGTTGGATGCACGTTGCCCGCGCTAACCAGCAATTCAAATTGCAGTTTTTTTTTGTTTTTTTTGTGAATTATTGAGTTTGGGCAAGAAGTTCGCGCAAAAGAGAGTCGTTCGAAAACAGTCCTTAATCTCCGCTGCCCGTAAAAGGCCGATCGCGCCGAATTTTTCAACATGCGTGACGCCGTCATGACTTTAGTTCAGAGGAGGCAGGCGGCGTTCTTAGATCTGTCAGATGATCAGCTCCACGAAAGAGCGGCGTTGGAAATCGCTTCTTCTCTCTGTTGCCTGCACGCGAACAGGCGCGGGCGGACAGTGTTCCAGCGCCGCCGGCGTCAACGCCTCAATGGACAACGGAGAAGGACCATTTTGGAACGACGCTCTCTTTGCGCCGACTTTTGCGCAAACTTTGTGCCTGTCATAAAAAAAACCCGATAGAATTCCTTTCCGCCGCAGGTAATCTGCACCTAACGTTCCACCCATTTCGCCACTTCTGTCCATTGGGCGCGCCGATATATTCTAGCGCGAGCGCCGCCACCGAGCGCACGCGCAACGAAAACGTGCCAGGCGTCCTAGGAAACTTGTCAACTGACTTTGATCCCTTGGGCGGAAGTGCATGCCCGAGACGGCTAGAGTCGGCTCGTGCCGCCTCCTGCTCTGCACGCGCAGAGCTTCCAGCGAGGCTGTCGCACGTTCAGAAAGATTGGAGTTGCATCGATTCTTTGCGGCAGCGGTGGCATAGCCAATTGCTGGATGCTGAGATCGGTCGGGCTTTCTCAGAAAATGGCCGAATTATTGCAAAGATTCGGTGAGGAACCGAAAGGTCACGCGCAAAAGCGTTGAGGGGCGTGTTGTTACCATCGCAGGTGCTGGGCGCTCGTCTTGTGTTCCCGCTGCTCGGGGAAGGTCACTGGATCTTGGAGCGTACGCGCCGCACACACGCACGCCGGCCCCCGCACGAACCAGGGTGAGAAAAGGTCCGCTTACCTGCAACGAGACAAAAAAACAGGGGTCAGCGACAACCGGCACGAGAACATTTCACTTTTGAATAATATAGTCTCAATCGCACGGTTCGTCAGTTATACGCCCGACACATTGTTTTCGTAGAAGCCCGTTTTCCCACGAACCGTGCAAACCTCGCAAAAACAGAAACAGAAGGCTCAACGCGTTCCGCAGTCAACGCAAGTCCTTGGCGTGGACAAGTTGGTGAGATACCTTCGGGGAACAAAATCAGACGGCCGCATTTACGGTAAAGTGAATTAAAAGTTTGATGGCGTGCATCACAGTGTGTCGTGGTCACATCTCTTGTCACAACAAACTTCCACCTTCAAACTGACTGTGAGTGCGGAAATAAACCGTTTTCGGGGTTGCTCTTGCACATGCGGACAACCCCCCCCCCCCCCCCCCCCCCCCGCTCCCCTTTCCCGTTCCCCACCTGAGGCTACGAAGGCTTGGGGAGGCTGGGGAGGGGCACTAGTTTTCCGGGGCCTTCCTACACGTCTAGTGGGCAACAACCGTTTATTTCTAACACGCCGTAATTCATTCCCGCCTTCATTCGCAACGACAAAACAAACGTAAAATATAAATAATATATTTTTTTAGACAGCCATTAGAAACTTTTTTATTATTATTATTATTCGCCGACAGATGGCGGCGAGTATTTCCGAACAAGGCCCGTTAATAACGCGATGCTCTCAGGTACCGGGTTCCACAGGTTGTTTCACTTCATAGCGAGCGGA